ATATTCAGCCCTCAAGTTCAAAATATGCACTCACAAAAAGATATGAATTTCCACATTATAGGTCCTTTTGAAAAGTCAACAAAAACACTTTTTGGGTCAAAGCTTCTTACATGAACATGGAAGACCCAATTGAGATGAAACTAAAAGGGTTGTTTAGGGGACATCCTAAGATTTCTAAAAAGTCCAAGAACATCTCTCTAGGGTTAAAATTGGAAGATATATGCCTTGTCAAAATTGACCATTTTTGCAAAATTGCCAAAAGTCAAATGTGCTCAAAAATGCATTTTTTCCAAATGGGCCTAACTTTTTATGTTTGCACCTCACTTATAACATGGTCCAAGACCCAAATATTCATCCACACATTATTTGCTTCATTTTTCATTTTATTTTGATTTTTTATTAATTAAAAAATTGAATTAAATCAAATAAATGACAAATAATAGCAAAGGTTTGTTTTGATCTGATTTTGGGACAAAATCACAAGCTAATTATGCTGGCATATTAGAATCAAATCGAATCAAGGTGGATTGGCACAAGAATGGCATGATTAGGCCTAATTTGGAAAGATATCATACGAGATGAAAACCAAATCAAATCTTCAAAAATTGCAAAGATACCAGCTGTTTTTATAACCCTAATTCACTTAGGGATATATCATGAACAAGGTCATGTACGAAAACAGAGGCTAGCAGTCGTGGAAAGCACAAGAACAAACTCAAAATTTTGGCAAAAAGTGGTGATCTGATCTCTACCCTAGAGGACGATTCAAGGATTTCCAACATTCCTAAACGATTCCTGGACCTTCCCAGAAGCTAGCACAATCAGTAGCAAGCACTCTCGCGCCCAGAATCACTCCCTAGACCTCATACAGTTTGCTTGTTTTTTCAAAATCGATTACAACCATTCTTGCATCATTAGCATAATTTAATGACATATTTGTAATCATTGATGTATTTCTAACATGTCTGGATCGTTTAATTGAATTTTTGAGGCTTATATGTGTGACTGCCATGGCTAGGGTTTGTCCTTGCATTTTGGGGCTTCTTGATACAGGTGAAATTGGCCTACACAAAGGGTACCATCGTACTCGTGAGGTCAAAAAAAATTGATTGATGTAGCCATAATTGATTTATCATGACTGTGTTGGATTTTTGAGATTTACAGGTTTTTAGTTACAGGCGCTGTCCATAGTTAAAAGGTCGTTATCTAAAACGACGGTTCCAGGAAGAAGATAAGGACGTGGCTGATAACCATTGGCCATTTTGAATTTCGCGCGCGTTTGTGACTCAGTTACCTTGATTTATATATTATATATTATTTTTATTATATTAACAAACAAAACATGTAGCGCAGTTGGCAAAGACGTGTGTTGGAAAGGGTAGATGACCTGGGTTCGATCCCAGGTCCCAACAACTTTCTTTATTTTATTTTCCTTTATAGATCCTATGCATGACCATCCCAAAAGCCTATCATGCATCATCAACAGCCAACCACTAGATTCATGATCAACCAGATCCAACGCCTATCATTGAAGGACCATGGTGTACCATCAAAAAGGGCCAGCATTGGATCAAGCGTTGACTGGGCTTCAATTTGTTGGGCCAGGAGATTTTCAGCAGTACACCCCCCTCCAATTTCTTAAACAGACCCATTCATTCATTTTTTTATTTATTTCTTTTTAATTATTTCCTAATTATTTTTCTTTTTAAAATAACATCAATTTTTTTATTTAATCAAAATCACAAAAAACACCAAAAAAATGTTTTTTATTAAATATTTTGTTTCCTTTAATTAATTAAATTAAAAATTAGGTTAATTTAACTCCTTTTTTATAATTAAAATCAATTAGAAATTAGGGTTTAATTTTTGTATATAATTAATTTTTTCTTCAAAAATAACTTAAATATTTTTCTCAAATTAGAATTTAGGTTTTATAATTATCCTCACATTTAATTCGTCGCGCGTATTTTAATTACTTTTTTTAATTATTTTTGTAATTGCTTTGAGGTCGTAATAGATTTAATTAGGTTTTAATTCCGCATTTTATTTTCAGTCAAAATAATTCTGTATCTGCGAAAGTCCTGTAATAGTTAGGATTTCTATTTCCGCACTTTAAATTCCTGCGATTTTTAACTGTCTAGATGCATGGCTAATAAGATTGCATGGAAAGAATACTTGAAAATTAAAACGGTAGAAAACCATAAATGTGCAAAGACAAATTAACTGAAAAATTACACTCACACATGCTCACTCCTAGGGTTTACTCCAATTCGGTTGCCTTCGGTTAAGCGGTCATGAAGTATAGGGTTTGTTAGTGGTCGTCCTCTAGCCCTGAAAGATCTCAAATGACCCATTCGGATGTTGCCTCAGAAAAAAGATCTTTAAGGCTTTAGGATGATTACTAACACCTCCTACCATTGCTTTTGTGACCGTATTTGTCCCTTCGAACGTCCCTTAAAACTCCAACGATGGTGCAACCTATTCCTTAATAATGGGATAGCGCAGTCAAAATGAAAATGAACATACTTTTTTCGAGTAGGTAGAAAACTCTTAAGTACTTGCTCAATCAATCAAACAAAACTTTTTCACATGAACACTTCTTCAAAACAATTTTCAAAACAACTCCGTCACACTCTTGAGGACTGATACAAGGGTTATCACAAAGTAAACTTTTTTTCAAAACAAGCACACACACAAGCAAGTTTAAAATGAGCAAGTACCTAAGAGTCCATGGAAAAACATGGATAGAAAGGGTGCTAACACCTTCCCTTTCTATAATCTACCCCCCGTACTCAGAAATATTCTCGAAAAAGGTTTTTTTGTTCTTTTTCCTTTTCCTTAGTTGGATGAAATAAAAGTCGGTGGAGACTCTTGCTTACCGCGACATTTTGTGAACACAAAACGCAAAACGCAAACCAGTATTAACAGTCGGTTCTGCCACCGTATCACAGATACACTTTTGTATTTCTAATGTTTATCTATATTCTGAACCACTCCAACAATATAATATAATGTGAACTATGTTTTGTCATTGTTCTGGTATGACTCAATGGCTAAGCATGGCCCAATCCACTTTTGAATCCAAGATGACCCGATAGCCTTGACCCAATCAGTTGGGACAGACGGAGGGCACTTTCTCTTTATGCCCCTCAACATGGGACGCATGATCGGTTGACCCCCGGGATCAACGCGACCACCAGTACCCTCGGCTACATCTCTGCCCGCACCAAGCGGTTAGTTCTCACTCTGCCAGTCGCACGAGGATAATCACCCAGGAATGACCAGATCATGCTTTCTCGTGAATATTCTTATGCCCATCGTAATGGATAGTTTCGAGCATCTCTGCTTGTTACAACTGTTAGTTCTTGGCAGTTACCTATTTTTGAGGAACCTGATATCCATGCCCAAAAGTAGGAACCAATGGCCAAGCATCGAGGGCACTATATAAACCCTCACACTTGTGAAGGTCAGGTATTCAATATTCTATACTCACTTCTAAAACCCTAAACTCTCTTGTATCTCTTTGCACCCTTACTTACTTGAGCATCAGAGTGCCTATCAAGTACACCTCTCCTCTTTATTTCCAGCATTACAGACGTAAATTTCGGCCCAATACAAGTTCTAATCATCGGTTAGATCAGTGGCACCGTCTGTGGGAACACTATATCCCCATCTTTTTTCCCCTGGAACTTAAGATCAAAGCAACATTTCAAGATTCATACTATGACCGATCCACATGACAGTTATTGCACCCCAAAATTTACCCTCTTGATTTCATAATTTTTATTTGGCTTACATTTCATCTGCATACGCATGCATACATTGGGTTTGTTGCTATAGGATCAAGGTATGCTAGTAAAGCATCGACTATTTATCAGAAACATCAATAGGCCCTGTGCATGCCATTCAATCAGCTGAGGAACGGGTTATCACCATGTTCTATTCCCGTGTATTTTCTCATGTCTTGGGCAATATAAGGGAACTAGAGGGTTTGATCTGATTCAGAATAGTTCGGGTAAAAAAGCTGTTTCGGTGTGTCAACTTCATAATTTGCTAACTGCGAGCTAGAGTACTGTTTTAGGCTGAAATTTGATCACCAAGTTCGTGTTAATATTATCTTCACTTTTTGTATTCAGTCCGGGAGCCAATTAGGTGCAGAAGGTGGACAAATAGTTTTATTACTGAGTTTTCAGGTTACGATCAGCGGTGTTTTAGGCATTCAGAAATTTCTAACTTCAATCTCGTTTACCGTCTCAAGGTGTTTTATTTTCATTGTTAAAACCGCCTCGATATCCTCTCCAATTTCCGTGTTCGGGCTTAAAGCCAATTCTCGAAGGAAGGTCCCCGAATTCGCAAGTCAGACAAAGCTGAACAGTGGAAAATACTGATAAACAGTTGGCTGAACCGTGTTTTTGTGCACATTAAAAAATTCATATCTCCTGGTTCGAGTACTGTATGAGCGTGGTTTCGGTGCCTGAAATTCCATCTTGATATCCTCTTGATGGACGTCCAGGGGCGAGAGCTGACTATTTGAGGAAGGCTGCGTAAATTTCGAATTACTGAGGAATTATTTGGTATCTGTCAGTTCAGTTTCCAATATTCAAAAATTCATAACTTGATCAATTTTTATGGAATTGCGCCCGTATTGAAGCGTTGGCTTTCTAATTTGGTCTCTTTCAATTCTGTTTATTTTTGCCAAGCCGAACGGTAGCCCGAAGACCTCCATTGTTGGTTTATTTCACAAAACGGAGTTGTTCGTACCAGTAAAACAGACTTAACGACATTGTACTGTAAAATTCATAAAAAAATCAACCGTTTATCAGACGGCTCTCATTTTTTAACACGACGTCGAGCACTCAGAGACGCATATTTTTCCTGGAAAAGACGAATTGAGATTCTGATTTCTGGGACACGATCTTGTGACGTTTCCGAGTAGCAAATGTCAAATAAGCTGATATTTTGACGTAATTAATTTTTGACAGTGACGTCTCGCCGCTTAAATGTATCAAACTCACTCGACTTTTGTCAAAAAACGTCAGTTCTTTTTGGGTTGTTTCCGTAACTCAGAGGCGCATATTTTCACTGGAGGTCCGCGTTCGTAAAGTTTTACGGATCACGGCGTAATTTTCACTTAAGCGGTGAATAAGCTGAAAATATGGGATTTTTACATTTACTATATATTAAATTTTACTACCAAAACTAAGGTCTCTCTCATTTTTTCCAAAAATTGAACTTTCCCTCCCTTTCACTTTCTCTCTTTTTTCTCTTGTCATAAAAAAAGGTATAACAATAGAAGGAGGCTCCCTCCCAAAAGGCTCTCCTCCCTCGCCGAACTTCTCTTCTCAACTAACTCCAGCCGCCCTCCTCCCTCTCAGCCGGAATTCCGTTTTCCCACCACCGTCGGAATGTTCTGCAATCTCTCAACTCCGCACATCTCTCCATCTGCAATCAACTCCGCAACTCCCTCCGTCTGCAATCAATCACCGCCGGACTATTCCGCAATCTCTCAACTTCGCACATCTCTCTGTCTACAATCAACTCCACAACTCCCTCCGTCTGCAATCAACCACCGCCGGACTATTCTGCAATCTCTCTGTCTACAGCTCCCTCTGTCTGCAACTTCCCTGCGGCTGTAGCCTCCCTCTGTCACGTCCTGCTTCCTCCCAGCCGGTACACTCAGTTCTGGTCAACCTCAACTCTTCCTCTTCATATACTTCAAGCATCTTCAAGAGGTACTGATATAATCTCCTTTGATTTTCTGTTGAATCTTGAATTTGGAGTTGTTGTTGTAACTAGAATATAGTTGAATTTTCAGATTTTTGCAATAGTTAAGAATTTAAGAATTGAATTAGAGAGTTTGTTTTGCCTCTTGAATTTTCAGATTTTTAGAATAGAATATAATTAGGTTTAATTTTCAGATTTGTGTTAGCTTAGGTTAATTCTACAATTGATTTAGGAATTTAGTGTATACTAACACTTAGCTTAGTTTTAGGTACTAATTCTTGATTTTGTTATCAATTTTGATATCAAAATGATAAGAAACAAGGCGTTGGTTAGTTTTTCACGAGATTATGAGATTATGCTTAATTCTGAATTTCTTACCGCTTGTTTGAACAGTGTCGGTAACATAACCTCATGAATTGAAATAAATACTACTAATATCTTTAATACTTTGATATTAACTAGCATTCTTTAATTTCATTATTTGTTGTTTTTTGATGGAAATTGAAGCATTAGAATGTATCTTGATGCATAAGTTTTTACTTTCTACAAGTTATGGTATAACTCCAATTTTCCTCTGTTTTGACATAAGCTTGCAGTGGAGATAGTTTTGCAATTTGTAGATGTGTTGTAATGCTTTAAGCTCATATACTTCTCTCACTGTTTTGTTGTCTTTGTCATTTACGTAATTCCGCTTTGCTTGCAAGTTGTGGATAAGTACTTGCATGCTAGCATTCTAGACTAGACGTTAAGTGTGGATTTCCAAATTCTGATTTGTGGTGAATGCTAGCATGTATATAGGTTTGTCCATAATTTGTGATTACACCTTGGCATGTAATTTAATTCCAGATTAGAGTTACCGCTTTGTTTTGTTGTTTTTAAAAGATACCGAGATCTTTTCCGTTGCACTTTTTCAAGATATTTTAGACCTTACAAAACGGTAACAATGCTGTCCGGAATCTTGAATTATATGTTCATAGAATTTTGATTCATGAACGGTATTTCTTTGTACATAATTTTGCCTCTTGTTAATACTGATATTTTTGGTTGTGTTTTAACCGATTTTTAGGCATACTTACAAGTATAGCGTGGCTGCCAGGAATACCCATTTTGTCAATAAAACTTGATCTGCTTCTCATTGATTGATTACTTGTGCTCGGTGTCGTATCTTTTGTTTCCAATACGAATAACTTTGCATTTTGAATCAATTGTTGCACGTTTTCAAAACGATTGTAATGTTGTCCCGAATAGCATTTTTATGCTTCTTGCTTATTTCAATTGCCAATTTGCACATCATTGAGTCGAAATGTATGAATGCTTGATATTGGAACTTGAGTTTCTCACCTTTAAAGGAATTTGAGCATACTAACACTTCAGTTAGTTTTAGGTATTAATTCATGACATTGTTTAAGTTTTGACAGCCGAATATTAAAGAAGCTAGGTATTGGATAAGTAACTCATGAATTTGGAACTTTATACTGTGAGTTTTCTTCAAGGTCTTGATGTCAAAGTAATTGGCCTTTGTTGCTGTTTTTTTTTGGTTGATAATCTCATGAGGCTTCCTTGCATTATGATGTATCTTGTACGCAACATTTTCAAATTACCAATGTTTTCTCACTTTTAACATAAAACTCACTTTTTTGCCAAATATTTGTGGATACTTGTTGATTGTCATTACTAAGTGTTGAGATGAGTTTCAATAAATTCTAATACCATTGTAAAACTCAGTTGAAACAAGTTTGATTGAGTTTTATGGAAAACATCTAAACATTTGGAAAATATGACATTTTTTGACATAAACCGATTTTTGCCATAACTTGTGAACCGCTTTGAGTTTTTCCGACTTTCTTTAACGAAGACCATGTCTCTCGAGCCATCCGGAGCTGCCCACGCGTTTAGTTTTTCGATTCGGACATTGTTGCGAAAATCGAGTTTTCGGGTGAAATTTGACCGAATCGAACGCATTTTTGTAACTGTTGGCACATGTATAGCTGCACATAATTTTTATAAATCATTCCGGATGGTTTTCAAGAGGTTACCACTTGTTTCGGAATCACTTTTCAGTTTATGCATGTATTATGCGTTTTTTTAAATACCATTTTGCACTAACTTTGGTCCATGGCGCCATTCCCTTTAGTGTGTAAATATACTAATTTGTAGAAAATAGTCCAACCTTTAGTTTTTACATTGAATGTCTACATTTCTGCTTTATATATGTAAACACTGCATCTTGTTAATACCGTCAACTTGTACATAGGCGTTTTTACCGTTTTTTTAATGCAATTGCTTGAATATGGCATGACTGTTTGGAGTATGGTCGTTAGCACCTACACACGATTCACTTTTCGCTACTTGACCATGCACAAATCATACTTATGGCGGATTTCACTCTGCTCATTTTTGTAACAACTTTGGTGCACTTTTCGGTATTAACGCAATATTGTCCAGAAATGCCATACTATGATCAAGTGACTTGGCTATCTTATATTGTATATAATCTTATTGTTTCAATCATGGATTGCTTACTTACCAGTTGTATTTTAATTGTGTTATTATTTGCTAACCATTTCGGTGAGTTGTATATATGGAGAAACAAGTTTGGATTGGCCGCTTAGGTGACAGATGTTTGCTTGCATTTGCCTATCGCCTTTATAATGTTGTTTGCTTCCGGATGCTAGCTTTTGGAGCTTGTGAAGATTCTGATACTTTGTTGCAGAGTTTGATGTATACGGATTTGTCTTATCCGTTTGGTACACATTCAGATCATTATTGTTGTAAATATTGCAAATACTGCATTATCATTATTATCGTAAATACTGCATTATGATTATCGTTGTAAATATTTTAAATACATTCAGATCATTATTGTTGTAAAAATTGTAAATACTGCATTTTACCACTTTCTAGAGATCATGTATAGTAGGGAAATTTATTTCTTTCTAGAAATCATGTGAAGTAGGAAGCAGGAAATAAAGAGTGTGCGCTCAAAGTCGTTGTTTAAAGTCCTGTAGCAGGCACCATTTTCTGTATGCTAATTGTGTTTGTTTAAAATCCTACCTTAGAAGTAGGTATTATGCACATGTGTTTATTTTTGTGCCCGCACTATATTACAGGTGAAAACTCCTCAAAAGGAGGCGAGCGGAAAGGGTTCATAATCGACCCCCGCACATTCCAGTCCATGTCGTTCCTATGCTCACTTCCTACAAGTATATGCTCTGAACATGTGCCCAAGATCTGAATGAATTTAAGTCCTTTAAAGGCAAGTGAAAAGGGTTCCTGCAATCAGATCCCCACGCTTTCTTTAGCTCGTGTTGACCAACACTGATGCTTAGTGTACGCATGCACTATGTCTTTTCCCCCAAATCTTTCTTGCCCTGGTAATTGATACCACGGTTAAGGGCCCTTTTGTATTCCTATAATTCTAGAGCTTATTTACTTGGGTCATATGCTCCCCTTGACTATGGCTTGACCCCTGGTCTGATGCTTGGTTGCTTGTCTAAGGCGGGACCTCCCTTTCTACTACTAGGCCTGTGCCTTGTAGGTGTTTGATATTCGAGTGATACTCGAGCTGTTATTTGTCTAGATGTTTCGCCATCTGCTTGCTTGTTTTTGTCACAGGATCTGTGACATTTTTACCATGCTCCCTTAGGCTCGCTCATGTAGGATTAGTCCTCGAGCTAGACCTTAGGATAGGGATCCATGTACGCTAACATAGGGTAGAAACTTCCCTCTTTCATCCTCCACCTTAGGATCAACCATTGTATAATAACATTAGGGGTAGTGATAAGCTAGTTTCCCTTAGTTGTTTTTTCCTTTCTTTGCATAGTGCATATTAAAACTAAAACCTCTTCTTGGAAAATCATAAAAAATCTCTAATAAACTTAAACCCTTCTTCAAGGTAAAAAATACAAACCAATCTTATTTATTTGTACGCCTCTTGGCCTTGTCTTCAGGTTTATGGATGTCTCGTCATCTTTGCCATGTTATTTTGTTATGTTTGTAGCCGGTGTTTCGCCATGTTTGTTATCCTACTTTGATTCTCAATATCATTGTTAGGTGTGATGTTTTATCATCTGGTTTACTGATGTTTTGCCATCCTTTCCATGACTTTTGTTATCTTTTAGCTGATGTTTCACCATCGCACATTCTTTTAGCGGATGTTTCGACATCACATATTCTTTTAGCCGATGTTTCGCCATCGCTCATGTTTGTTATCCTACTTTGATTTTCAATATCATTGTTAGGTGTAATGTTTCATCGTCTTGTGTGACATTTTTCTATCATGCTGGCGTTTTACCGCTTTATCTGAGTTTGTGTTGCCATGTAATGTCTTGTCATCTCTTTTTGCTATTTTATCATCATTGTTGACATTTTTGCCATCTTATCTATTGCTTTTATTTCCTTAACTAAAAAACATAAACCAACCAAAATATATGAGCCAAACTATGACTGCTCTGATTCCTTAAAAGGGATATGTAGGCATTGGGTAGGGCCCGAACGAGCACAACTTTTATTTTCCCTACGTTCTTTTCTCCTTTATTTTGCATGCATTCCATGTACAGCTTAGACATAGATTTTTACACACCCATTAGATTAGACAACAAGAGTGGATACCGTAGAGTACTATGGGCGTGTGGGGTGCTAATACCTTACCCGATCTCTCTGTCGCAAGATCGTGATTTCACCCTCTTCAGGTTTTCTTGATGTTTACCTTTCCCCTCTCGGTGGGATAAAAGACGTTCGGTGGCGACTTCATTGATATCTCATATATCGGATGACGGTTTGGCCGGTTGTTTCAGCTGGCGACTTCACTGGGGATATGTTGACCAAATGCTGATCCATCTCGGAGACGATCCTAGCTCTTGTTTTCTTTTCTTTGGGTGTTTATTTTCTATGCTTTCAGCTTATTCATTTATACATGTTTATTTGAGCATATGTTTGCATTGCATTTTATTGCTTTCCATATTGATTATTTGCTGTGCTGGATTTTGGTTTTCTTGGTGGGTGGGTGTAACAAGAGGTAAAAGGCCCAATATCCAGGCCATGTGACAACCATTGGAACTAGGAATAGAGTGGCCATGGCAGCTATGAGGCGGATGTCTTGTAGACCTAACCATAAGACCCATGACTTCAGAGGATGTTTGGATAGGTGTTATCGTATGATGATACCAACAGATGAGCTCTTGTACGATGATTTGGCCTTTGACCTTACCACTACCTAGTCTTTACCCGTGAGTGGGGTGGGAAAGTTTTTCTTACAGGTACAAATGGTGACTCTAGTTCTGACGGTGACTTTGGTTATGTTGCTGACTTGAGTTCTGTTGGTGACCATATGTTGATAGTTACTATGTGTTTTTAATGGTGACTTGATACTGTCGGTGACTATATGTTCTCTCGGTTTTGCTCCGAACTTCTCACCTTGTGATGGCTATTTATTTCGGAAGTTCTACAGTTATCTTTTATGACAGGGAGATTTTGGTCTCATGTAGTTGCCGATCCACTTGGTACTTCATTCTTTTGTGTTCCAACGTGGTATCAGACCTTTGATCTGGTGATATTGATCATTCAGTATAGAGACAATGCAACCATTTTCCATGTTTATGGAACCTTGATCCTATGTTATTACACATAATCTATTAACATTATTTCGACACACATGTTCTTTCCATTTCCAAGGAACCATACTTGTGAGATTTGTGTTGCACTTCTCCATCTTTCATTGGTTTAAAATCAAAATTAAAAGCATGTGAGTTCCTTGGAAATGATCAAATATGGCATTTCATCCACTCATACACCTTATTCATATTCATGCATTCATAACATGTACTAAGAGTTGAAGATTCTTATTCAGACTTGGTCTTCTCTTTAGAGTTATATACTTGAATTCTTGTTGTCACATGTTCAGAGATCAGTTATGGAATAACTTCGTGGGATATTGGCCGAGATGAAGATTCAGATATGGTTGTTTGTGGTATACGTGCAAGCCTTGGCCCGTGATCGGGAACTCTTTGAAAAGGAAGATAATAAATTGAAGACTCAGTGGAGTCAGGTCATGGAAGTCTTGATGATAGTATCAGCAATCCTACACTGGTCGTTGCAACAAAAGTTATTCTCTTCTCCCCATCTT